CTGTCTGTCTGTCTGTCTGTCTGTCTGTCTGTCTGTCTGTCTGTCTGTCTGTCTGCCTGATTATCCGTGTAGCCCCAACACGTAGACACATTGTAGCAAACATACAATAACATATCAATCACTAGTGACATAGATAGACAGACAGACATACAGACACTCATACAGTTAGACAGACACATACAGACAGATAGATATATACAGCTGGCATCTCACGGTATAACAATGTATGTGGTTAGCCCGACGTTGTTCGGTAAGACAAAGAAAAAGAGGCGGCAATGGTGAACCTCACCTCTCTCCTTCGGCGGCGATTTTGACTTTCTTCTCACGCTCATCGTTCTCCCCCTTCTCTCCATCCCCTCCTTCCTCTTCTTCCTCAACCAACGTCTTCCTGTGCTTTTTGTGATGCTTCTTTTTTTTCTTTTTCTTTTTCTCGCCATCATCTTCATCTCCTTCTTCTCCTCCTCCCTCTCCGTCCTCTGCCTCCCCACCATCCTCCCCTTGCCCCCCTTCCCCATCCTCCGCCTCGCCTCCATCCTCCCCGTCTTCCCCATCATCGCCTTCATCATCATCGTCATCATCGTCGTCGTCATCACCAGAGCTGTCGTCAGAACTGTCCCCGGCTAGCTCGGGCTCCCACTTGTCTGAGCCAACCGTCAACTGGACTCCGATGTACCTAGGCGCGGGAAGGTCAGGTTGGTTGGTTGTTGATTGTTTGTTGGTTTGGTTGGGTGGTTTGTTTAGTTATTTGTTTGTCTGTTTGTTTGTTTGTCTGTTTGTATGTTTCTGGTAGGTTTGTTGGTTGGTTGGTTTCTTTGTTTGGCTATTAGGTTGTTTGTTTGTTTATTGATTGGTTGGTTGGTTGGTTGGTTGTGTGTTTGCTTGCTTGTTTGTTTGTTTATTTATTTTGTTGGTTGGTTGGTTGGTTGGTTGGTTGGTTTCGTTGTTTGGTTGTTTGTTGATTAGTTTGTTGAGTTGTTTGTTTGTTTGTTGATTTGTTTATTCGATTGTTTGTTTGTTTCTATATTTGAAAAAAGAGAGACACATCAACACAAGAAGAAGAAGAAGAAGAAGAAGAAGAAGAAGAAGAAGAAGAAGAAGAAGAAGAAGAAGAAGAAGAAGAAGAAGAAGAAGAAGAAGAAGAAGAACAGG